CGGGCTCTGTGCTGACAGCTCAGAGCCCGGGGCCCGTTTTGGATTCTGTGTCTCCCTCTCTCTCTGCCCCTCCCCTGCTCATGCTCTCTCTCTCTCTCTCTCTCAAAAATAAATCAATGCTAGGGGCGCCTGGGTGGCTCAGTCGGTTAAGCGTCCGACTTCAGCTCAGGTCACGATCTTGCGGTCCGTGAGTTCAAGCCCCACGTCGGGCTCTGGGCTGATGGCTCAGAGCCTGGAGCCTGCTTCCCATTCTGTGTCTCCCTCTCTCTCTCTGCCCCTCCCCCGTTCATGCTCTGTCTCTCTCTGTCTCAAAAATAGATAAACGTTAAAAAAAAATTATAAAAAAAAAAATCAATGCTAAACAAATTTTTTTAAATAAAAAGTAATAAACTCTTCAAAAAATAAATAAATACAAACAAAACAGAGAGATCAGCCGGGATTCTCCAGGTAGCCCAACGGAATCACAACGGTCTTTCTGTAGGGTCCTTGATTTCAGCTCAGTGAGACCTGAGCCGCACTTCAGACTCCCAGAACTATAACGAAAACACATTTGTGTTGTTTCAGGCCACTGAGTTTGTGGGAATTTGTTACAGCAGCTGCAGGAAAGAAACACGATGCCCCCCCCTCCCAAGGTCTTCTTTGCATATATATTTTCCACCAAAAAAAGGGACCATACTGTACATGCTATTTTTTAATGATTTTTTTTTTAATGTTTATTTATTTTTAAGAAAGAGAGAGACAGAGCGCGAGCCGGGGAGGGGCAGAAAGAGAGGAAGACACAGAATCCGAAGCAGGCGCCAGGCTCTGAGCCATCAGCACAGAGCCCGACGCGGGGCTCGGACCCACAAACCGCGAGATCATGACCTGAACCGAAGTTGGGACGCTCAGCCAACTGAGCCCCCCAGGCGCCCCTTTAATGACCTTTTATTGAGGCACAGCGTTCAAACAAAATCCCAGATCCTCAGCAAACAGGTGGAGATGAGGGAGAGGCACACCTGTGTGACCACAGCCCCAGGTCAAGAGCTCTTCCTTGACCAGCTCCCTTCCCCCAGAAACCCCTCACCCTACTCCCGGTCACCCACTCCCCAGAGGGAGTGGTCTTCGACACCACGGCCTAGTGCTCCTGTCCGTGACCTTCCCAGACAAAGTCACACAGTCAGTACAGGGCGGGCTGGCCTTTTCATGGAGCCGTAATTCACACACAGCGAAGAGCACAAAATCTAGGCATGTCTTCACATTCGCAGACACGGATTAACTGCCCTGATAAGGTGAGTCTCAGGACCAGGTCCCCAAAGCTCCCTCCCCACTGCTGGCCGGTCCCCCGTCCTCCCCAAATAACTAGTTTTCTGACCTCTGTCACCACAGAATGACTTGTGTCCGATTTGGGACTCTGTGTAAACGGCACCCTACCAGATGCGGAGACCTTCGTCCTCGCCCATCGACATGCCATGAGCACTTCCCACCGCGCGGCCGTGCTCTGCCTCGTTCGCTCGACTGCCCCTTTCTGTCTCGGGCTGCTTCCGGTGTTCGGTTGATGTTGAGAATAAAACATCTGAGACACCCCAGGCTTCTCCGGCTCACAGAGGCCAGGGGTACAGATCCGCGGCCTGGTTCTCACGCTTGGTTCCAGCCACGTCCGGAACTGATGGAAAGGAGACTGTCCGCCCCCCACCCTCAGAAACAGTTGTTTCCTGACAGTCCCAGGGTCCAGGCCGCTGCCTCTCCTCGCGACCTGGCAACCAAGAGGGTATTTCCTCTCTGAGCTCCGTCAACCGGCGTCTGATTACTCCGGCTGGCAAGTCACGGCCGGGAGCTTCGTGTTCCAAGACAGGAACTTTTCTCATGTATTCTTTGGAAGACAAAGAAAGTTCCTCAACGCAAACCAAGTAAACGCGCCCACGCCTCCCTTCTGGGGAATGTGACCGGGGTTGACACCAGGGCCGTTGGCCTGTGGTTGGTCCCAACTATTGTGTTTGCCCCAAAAGTGCGGGATTCGGAAGCACAGGGGAGCCCGGCGTATTCCAAGGAAAATGTTTGCAAGCTGACAAATGATGATAAGATATGACCTCACTTTCAAAAAATGTGCATGGTAGGGTGTTAGCTTTTTTTTTTTTTTAAGTTTATTTATTTTTGAGAGAGAGAGAGAGAGACACAAAGTGCGAGCGGGGGAGGTGCAAAGGGAGCGGGAGAAACAGAATCTGAAACAGGCTCCAGGCTCCGAGCTGTCAGCACAGGGTCCGACGCGGGGCTCGAACTCACGGACTGCGAGGTCGTGACCTGAGCTGAAGTCGGACGCTCAACCGACCGAGCCACCCAGGCGCCCCCAGACGTATAATGTAAACACTGCTGAAAGCAGATAGAAAGCACAGCTTTGAACACCTAGTTTCAGCCATTCCTCCTTCAGAGAGAAGCACTTAAAACGCCTGATGAAACATGCTTTGCTACTGTGTCACGGGACTTTTGTTTTGGGACGGCCACAGTTCTCACGGACCTGAGATGAAGGCACATTTGGGGTGGGAGACGCCGCGCGTGCCCACGATAACTTGTAACATTGGGGTCCCCTCCCTCTGGCCCCGCCTCAGGTCCCGTGGGAAAGAGCGAGAGCCCCCCGGGGCCAGGCCACCCTCTGCGCCTGTCCCCGACACACACCAGGGCCGCAGGCTGCAGGCCTCGGGTTGGGATGACAGGTCAACTCGGCACCTGGGGACGCGGGATGAAGGTGCCGGAAGAGCCGGGCCGGGCCTGGCGGCACCACCATCAGATGCTACCAAACACGTGGTGTGTGCTTACCCGACAGGCTGGCGGGGCTGAAAACAAGGACACAAATCCCAGCCCCAAAGTGTCCCCTTCGCAGACTGTGGAATGGTACCCATCGGCAAAGGCCCTTCGTCACAGGGACTTTTGGGGGCTGCTGACGCTCTAGCACAAGAAAGCTCCAAAAGCACTCGACTGTCCGCTCGTGTGGGACCTTTAGAACTTCTAGAACCTGGGGTGCCTGGGTGGCTCAGTCGGTTGAGCATCTGACTTCGACTCAGGTCATGATCTCACAGTCCGTGAGTTCGAGCCCCGCGTCGGGCTCTGTGCTGCCAGCTCGGAGCCCGGAGCCTGCTTCGGATTCTGTGTCTCCCCCTCTCTCTGCCCCTCCCCTGCTCATGCTCTGTCTCTCTCTGTCTCAAAAATAAATAAAAAAATAAAAAACATTAAAAAAAAAAAAAGAACTTCTAGAACCTCTGTTAAATGAGCCCGTGTGCCGTTGCGGGCAAGAAAGTCAAGAGAAGCGCCTCTCACCGCGCCCCCTTTCGACGTCTTCGTGAACTGCCTCCAACAGAGAACGGAAACCCGTCCGAGACATTTTGTATTTGCGCTACTTTGACTCGTTTATGTTTTGTGAGCTTCAACGCAGACGAACGAGACTCTTGTCACTGCCTGTCGCTGGGTGGGTCAGGCACGGCCCGCGTCCAAACCCCGACACTCGCTGGCTGCGGGGCCCTGGCAGCGGCTGTCCCTCCGGCCCTCACGCCCTCATCTGCAGGGTGGGGGACAATGGTGCCTCAGAAATCTGTCTGGAGGAGCAGTGAACGAGATGAAGGCAGTGAGCCAGGCCCCGGCACCCAGGGCGGTGAGGGGTCCTTGGGTGGAAAAGCAGTTCTCCGCCCCCGCTCTCCCCCTGTGGGTGGACAGCGCGGGCGGCCGAAATGAATGAGACCCTTCATTGCTACCCTGGAATCTCAGGTCACGGGGGCTGCGCGGTGAGCCTCTGGCTTTCTGCAGGACAGAAGCGACTCCTTCCCAGCAAATCACAGCCCCGCGGGGGTAAACGAGGGCTTGTAGGTGGACACGCCAGGCCCTGCTCGTGGGGCCCGGTGGGCTGTGCGGGCAGGACTCAAAGGAAGTCAGCTGCGGGGTGAGGCCAGGTCACGGCGGGAGGTGGGGGGCGGGGGGGGATGCCGGGGCCTGGAGGCCCCAGCCTGCTTCTTGCCTGACTCTGGAAAGGGCCTGAGTGATTTCAACTTCCCCTTACTTGGGAGGAGGGAAGTACAGGATGTCCTGGACTCCCAGCAAAGTCAGATAAGAAGGAAGCCAGTGAACGGGTCCAGAGCGAGAGGGGTTTTTGGAGCTGTTTGATTTTCCGAGCTCCCTTTATCTGCCCGAACGCAGAGCCTCCGGAGAGGATCCAAGGGTCGCAAGTGCCCTTCCCAGGCTGAGGGGCAGAGCATAAGCTAGCACTTCCCCCCCACGAGTAGGATAAGGAATGGGGTTTAAGTCCTTGCCGTGGTGACGTGGGAAACTAAGGCAGAGGAGAAACTAAATTCCCTTACTGCCTACAGCCTGCTGACGAGTCCTGGAAATGAGCAGAATGACCTTCCTCTAGGAGCTCGGCTGCCTCGATGGTGACACTTTGCGGGGGGCAAAAGGGAATCTCGGCTTAACGTGATCCCAACCTCGGGGACCCTGTAAGTCAACTTCCTTTATCTCGACGGCCCCAAGCTATATGCTGGCAATCCCACTCCAAGCTCATGGCCCCCGATACACATCTGAAGGGTCTCAGGACGGAGGTTTTGCTAAAAGGTAATAAATTGAGTTTTCCTAGCAACAGCTAGCCCCTCAAGGTCCCGGAAACCTTGCTTCCAGGATTCCTCAGAGACGTACGCTGTCCCTGCCCCCCTCCCCACCTGAGGGGATACAACCCGTCACCCATCACAACCCCAGCGCAGCTCTTCCCCCTGTCCCCGTGCTTTAACAAAATTGCCTTTTGGCACCCAAGACGTCTCGAGAATTCTTTTTCGGCTGTCGGCTCCGGACCCCACGAACCCCACCATCACCCCAAAACATCATCAGCGGCACTGTCGCAAAACCATCACGCCTGTCACCTATTCAAAAGGCTCATTATCTTTTCTAGAAGTCTTGCTTTCCTGCAAGTGGCCTCCCCTCCTCTCCCCAGGAGCCCTCACTTCTAGCCTCCAGAGACCTTTTTCTGCAAACTCCCGCTACCAGCATGAATACAAATCGGCCTTTCTCTTGCTAAACTGTCTTTGTCCGTTTCACCTGCAGGCCTCCAGAGAACGTGAGAGGGTAGAAGGGTGCACATGTCGTTACTACTACCGGTAAGGAAAGCGTGTGCAGTGACACTTGTTGAGGACGGTGAGGTCGACTCTATTCAGGACCTTTGAGATGGAGATGGGACGGTGGGGACGTGCCGTGGGGGAGAGAGATGGGGTTCGACTCTTGCTAACGCTGCATTTGACGACGAAGTGCACGGATGGGCCGACGAGAAGGTCCAGGCGCCTGACTGAAGTTTGGTCCAAGAGCCCTGGATAACGGACCTCTCCACCAAGGTAGAAGAGAACAGTGCTATAAGCGTTAAACCACATAATAAGCGTTAAACCACAACGTGAGGACCACCCCCAGGCCACCCGCTGAAGGGACCGCAAACACAGAAAGAAAACGTGCTCTCTGCGTTCAGTCCTCACGTAGGTTTGCGATTAACGTGGGGCCGGTGGAGTCTGGCCGTCCCCTCCCAGGACACAGAGGGCATTAGCCTCTTCACATCTCAAAGATTAGGCTCTCTGGGCCCAGGGAAGACATTCCTGAGTTGGGAGCCGCCTGAGACTGATTCAGCCACAAACAGATTAGCAGGGCAGAGAAAGAGAGGCTGGGAATATAGGGAGTAGGGGTGGGGGAGGCTCTTCCCTTGTTCCTTTGCTTTCCTTTTTTTTTTTTTTTTGTAATTAATTTGTTTTTTTGTTCCTTTACTTTTCTAATTAATTTTTTTTTTCAACGTTTATTTATTTTTGGGACAGAGAGAGACAGAGCATGAACGGGGGAGGGGCAGAGAGAGAGGGAGACACAGAATCGGAAACAGGCTCCAGGCTCCGAGCCATCAGCCCAGAGCCCGACGCGGGGCTCGAACTCCTGGACCGTGAGATCGTGACCTGAGCTGGAGTCGGACGCTTAACCGACGGAGCCACCCAGGCGCCCTTCCCAACTGCTTTTAAATCCCCGTGTTCTCAGAGACCAGGGAACAAGGGCCACCAACACCGGCTGGGCGTGGGGCCGCCCCTCTTTTCCGGAGGTCCCCAGACCTCGACAGCGGTGTGCCTGACCTACCAGAAATGCCAGGACTACTTGTTAGGCTTCCACGCCGGGCCCGTGCTTTCCCGTGGGAAGTAGAGCTCCTCAATGTGACAGTTCTGGCGTCAGCGCTGGATTAGACACATCCAATCATTTCCCGGTAGGAAGGAGGACAAGTCACTGATGCTATGCACGTAGTTCCTTAGCTGGGAAAGGACTTTCCAAGGCATCGCGGCACGGCCCGATCGCTGCCAGGAATAGGTTGTGGACCAGGCCCGTCTACATACGCTAAATTTCTAGCAGACTGTGACAGACTCCGCAAACTTATACACAAAGGTCAAATCTTGGGGGTTTGCTCCCAGAACCAGGTGGGAGGCCTTGAACAAGCTGCTGACCTGGAGGGTCTGCTGGGCTCTGCATCTACCTCCTGCCCTTACCGAGAGCCGACCGAGGGGCGTGGGGCGCTCAGGAAAGCATCAGGCTGTGTTTGCTGCCTGAGCCGCAACTTTAAGCATTTCCACCGGAAGGAAACTCCAGTCCGCAGGCACGGGTCCCGTGGGCCCAGCCTCTGCTCCGAGAACGTGTTGACTGAAGGGGAGAACAGACCCCCTCGATATGCCTCTTTGGCATGTTATCTTAAATTGGTTATTTAAAAAAAAAATTTTTTTTCAACGTTTATTTATTTTTGGGACAGAGAGAGACAGAGCATGAACAGGGGAGGGGCAGAGAGAGAGGAAGACACAGAATCGGAAACAGGCTCCAGGCTCTGAGCCATCAGCCCAGAGCCTGACGCGGGGCTCGAACTCACGGACCGCAAGATCGTGACCCGGCTGAAGTCGGACGCTTAACCGACTGCGCCACCCAGGCGCCCCCGTTAAATTGGTTATTTTTAAAAAACTGCAGGCACAAAAGCTCTGAACGTAGGGGAGACGTACCCTTTGGTAAGAGAGAGACGTTTCATTCTAAGAGAAATCTCCACGGATGCGGGGCTCTCCGGAGATCTCTAGAAACTCATCAGTGGAGGCGGTGTGGACTTATATGCACACCACACCCTCGCCTTGTTGGTGGTGCTTTTCCTGGCCCCCTCCCACAACTGATCCCTCACCCCAACATCTCCTAGGTCTTTAGCCGGAGGTGGTATTTAAGGTGATGGCTTTGGCCATTTGGGGGAGCGACTCCGTTTTTTTCTGCCATGTTCACAGGAGGTATGCATTTGATTAAACTTTTGTTTTTCTTTTTTTTTTTTAATTTTTTTTTTAACGTTTATTTATTTTTGAGACAGAGAGAGATGGAGCATGAACAGGGGAGGGGCAGGGAGAGAGGGAGACACAGAATCCGAGGCAGGTTCCGGGCCCCAAGCCGTTAGCACAGAGCCCGACGCGGGGCTCGAACTCACGGACGGCGAGATCATGACCTGAGCCGAAGTTGGACGCTTAACCGACTGGGCCACCCAGGCGCCCCTAAACTTTTGTTTTTCTCCTGGTAATCTACCTCGTGTCAATTCAATTATCAGCCCAGCCAAAGAACAGTAAAGGGCAGAAGGAAACTTCTTCCGCCCCTGCAGCCTCTTCCTCCACACCTGCTCCCCCTCCCCCACCCCACTCCCCCCACGAAGGAAGTGTCCTTTTTGCTGAACTCTTCCGTGGCAGATCCCTGGTCAGAGCATTCTCCCTGGTGGGAGAGAATCACCCCCACAATCATCCTTAACAAGACAGTCTCTGTTTCCTAAGTCGGGATTTGTTTTTTGACACGGGGCAGCACAACAGCAGAGGCCTTGGTGGGGAGACCATGCACTTTGGGGTCGGGAAGCACAGGGTTCAGGTCCCAGGGCCACCCCGCTAGTGGTGACCTGTTGTGCGGCCTTTGCACATGCTGTTCCTGCCACCTGGAATGCCCTTCCCTCTTCATTCCTGGCCCATGGCTTCCTGTGATTCAGCTTTCCGTGCAGACACCAGCAGGGAGGACTTCCCTCTCCTCCAAGCCAAGCGGGAGCCCCAGCTGCACCCAAGAGCAGAGCGGGGACCTTTCCCCAGCCGTGGTGACGCTCGTCCCCCCTGTATCCCCGGGGCCTAGCACGGTCTCTGCGTGTGTCACCCACATTTGTGAATGAGGAAGTGGACACTGGCCTCTGACCCCAGCAGTCACCTGTCCTTGCTGAGCCTCCTCCCCCCACATGAGACAAGAAGTTTGAGGAGGGAACATTTGCAAATTACTTGGAACCTACCAGACCGGTAAGAAATCTTGCTTTCCATTCTCTCTCCATTATAGAATATTTCCTTTTCTCTCCAATTCTGGAAAGCGTTCAAATCAACCTCACAAGGATTAATGAGGGGAAGGTTGGGACAAAGATTCTTTGTCAGGCTCCTGAACCGTCTGGCAGCCCCATCCGCGAACTTCCTTGTCAAATCCAGTTTTAGCAAGAACCCTGCTGAGTCAGTTTCACAGAACCACCCTCCGCTTCCCAGATACCTGACTGGGTTCCCCATCCTCCCCCGGCCCCTGGGTGACCCCTGACCCCCCCGGCCCGCCTCCGGCCAGAATCCTGCTGACAATCCTGCTGGGTCGGATCAGACAGAAGCCCCCTGCCCCGTGATGTATTGTCCTCGTAGCGATTTTCCACCCGCTGCCCTCCTCCTGCTCCCTCACCGTAAATCCCCACCTGTCCCCGCTACATTTGGAATTGAACCCCGTTCCATACTGATGTCTCTTTTCCTTTATTGCAATCGTTCTGGATAAAACCTGTTTTTACCACTTTAATCCAGGCGCTGATTTCTGACAGCTGGGAGGTTTTTTGTTTTTTGTTTTTATATTATATTTCACGTGACCTTGGTTTTATGAGGCAAACGGTAAGGAGATGTTTATCATTGCTTCTTGCTGTAGCTAGCTGTAGAAGAGGCCTCACAGAACCCAGCGTATATAAGGAGGGAGTTCAGGGTCGGGTTCTAGGCCCAGGTGCACAGACTGTAGGAAATAACCACTCCATGCTGCACAGGTAAGGCCTTCCCTAATATAGGAAACTGGCTCGTGTGTGTGTGTGTGTGTGTGTGTGTGTGTGTGTGTGTGTGTAGATACTGCTGGTAACTACAACTGGGTATGTGCCACACAAATGAAACCCACACCCAAGCCTATCATCAATGGGAGATGTACCTAGCAACCAAAACTGCCCTCCGTCACTCCTCAAAGGGCGGCCCCCCAGACCAGCATCCCTCGGGAGCTCATGAGAAATGCAGAGTTCCAGGCCCCACCGCGGCCCTGCTGCGCCAGAATGTGCATTTGACAGATATCTGGTGGGGGACGGTGGTTGTGCACAGGTTGTTTGGTAAGTGCTGACCCGGGCAACACTTTTCGTTTATGTTCTTAGAACCGAAACGCAGCAAGATGCATTCCTGAGCAAGTCAGAGGCGAGGTCTAGGTCAAAAAGAGGGTATCAAGATGGGTCTAGGGGCGCCTGGCGGGCTCAGTCGGAGCACGCAACTCTTAATCTCGGGGTCGTGAGTTTGAGCCTCACTCGGGGGTAGAGATTACTTAAAAATAAAATCTTACCCCCCCCAAATTAGTCTAAACCTGGCTTGGGACGGAGACTTTTTTTGAAAAAAATCTGTTCTTGGGGCGCCTGGGTGGCGCAGTCGGTTAAGCGTCCGACTTCAGCCAGGTCACGATCTCGCGGTCCGTGAGTTCGAGCCCCGCGTCGGGCTCTGGGCTGATGGCTCGGAGCCTGGAGCCTGCTTCCGATTCTGTGTCTCCCTCTCTCTCTGCCCCTCCCCCATTCATGCTCTGTCTCTCTGTCCCAAAAATAAATAAAACGTTGAAAAAAAAATTAAAAAAAAAAGAAAAAGAAAAAAATCTGTTCTTACCACTTTATTATTTTTTTTTTTAATTTTTTTTTCAACGTTTCTTATTTATTTTTGGGACAGAGAGAGACAGAGCATGAACGGGGGAGGGGCAGAGAGAGAGGGAGACACAGAATCGGAAACAGGCTCCAGGCTCCGAGCCATCAGCCCAGAGCCCGACGCGGGGCTCGAACTCACGGACCGCGAGATCGTGACCTGGCTGAAGTCGGACGCTTAACCGACTGTGCCACCCAGGCGCCCCTGTTCTTACCACTTTAATCCAGCTGTGATTTTTGACAGATGATAAAATTCATAGCCTCCTTCTGGGAAAATTGGCCTCCCTGATATAATCTGCAAGGAATTTCCTAGGAAACCTACCCACCCAGATGACCTTTAGCTGGGCCTCTTTTTGTATTTACTCTAACAATAATCCAACCTCCCCTGTAAAATAATCCAAATTTCCCTGCAAAATACAAAATTCCTAACTGAGATCAGCTTGGGGACTGGCCTCCTGGGGCCTCTCCCCTTGCACCCGAGATTGTAACAAAACCGTAACAACGTTCCCACCACAGCTGAATCGTCTGCAAAGTCTTTCACACATCTAAGCAACAGACCGAATGGACAGATCAGGAGATGTGGTTGACCTTGTGCAAAGTTAGGCAGAGAGGCTCCGGGCCCTGCAGGAATGAGAGTTGGCCACCAAGGAAAGTTCGGCCACGGAAACCGCGAGACAACAACTAGGCGGGGAACAGGAAGGAGACGCAGGGGGTCTGGCCAGACGAGTCCAGGAGGCGGGCGACTGTTGTGTCCGCGTGACAACCGTGAACGCTAGCCGAACAGAAATCGCGCAGGAGGACTGTACTGGAGGACGGCGAAGGAGAAGCAGAGGGGGTCCGTGAGTGCTCAGCCTGAATCCGCCAGAAAAGCAGTCAGCGGGCTCAAGACGATGGGTCAAAAGGCGCAGCGCACGGGTGTTACTCAGAAACAGGAGACCCGCACGCTTGGAAGACAGAGCCGCACGAAGCAGGCGCCGAGGCCAGGCCCCTGGGAAGCCGGGCGCTGGGAGCTGCTGTTCAGCGCCAGCCTTTGAATCCTCTGCGCTTTGCAACTTGTGCGTCGTTACTGTGGGGGGAAGAAACTAAAGGCAAACACCCAGCAGGGCTCCCACGTATCTACAATGACGGGAGAAGGAACACCTTTCTTTTACTTTGACTCCTTCCTCCCTCCTATCTCCTCCGTTGACTTTCAAAGGGGTGCAGCGATCGGGAACAAAGAAGGCACGTGGGTGAAGGGGACTCCGCCCAGAGCTCACCCCGCTAGAGGACAACCGAGGAAAGTTCCCAAAGGGGCACGCAGGTCAGAAGTTGGGCTTTAGGAACCGTATCCCACGGGCGGGGGGGATGGGGGGGGCACCGCCACAAAGACGGAACACAACCGGCTCACAGAGCCTCTAGTGGAGGTCAGGGTAAAAACCCAAGTCTGGTTTTCACAAAGAATTTGTCGTCCGAAGAAAGGCCAAGTCTTATTTTAATTCCACCCGGTAATCGGGCGCTGTGCTGACGGCCGCTGCATTCTGGAGCGGTGCTGGGTGACCATCCCACAACCCCACGGCTGCCGGGCCCGGACACACGTGACCTTCCAATGACTCACTCGGCTCCGTATTTAACTAAGTCTGCAATAAAAGAACGAGTTTTCTGCTGTGGCTGCATTACTGATCTGCACAAATACCGGAACGAATAGCTGTTTTAGCCACATTCGTTATGGATGGCCACGTGAAACCGGGACAAGCCTCGGCCTCTTAAAGGTTCGAGGAGAATGCGCTTTCTGTAGCCTTCTTGGCAGTAATTTAAATGAAAACACGTCTACGGTTCGTCGAGAAAGCAAGGAGGGACACGGCTCCTGCGAGGGGGCAACAGGCGAGAAAAAAAAAAAAACAGCGGGTGAGTCCTAGGACGGAGTCCTGTGTGCCCATGGCCCTGCTGCTCTGAGACGAGACGTGTGGCCCGACTCCGGCTTCATCCGCGAGGTGAAAGACACCAGGTCGGCTGTCCCAGGAGCTTACACCCAAATGTCTCTTCCCGGGTCAGTCATCCTGGGGACACCACAGTCACGGCTCAGCAGGGCCGAGTGGGAGCCTCCCACAGCTGCCAAGGGGAGGGACACACTGTGCAGATCTTGGATCCTCTCAGGGGGCAAATCTGCTGACACAGGAACAGGAAATGTTTCGAATGCAAACTACTCTGTTGGGGGGGGGGGGATGGTCTCTAAAAGATGAGAGAAGACATGTAAGCTAGTGACACCCACTTGGGGAGTAAAGGCCAGACTTTCCTACAAGGCCCCGCAAGACCCCACGCCCCCGGCCGCTCCAACCCGGCTCAGAAAAGCCTTGTTCACTCACCATCGTGCCAGGCTGGACCGGCTGCCTTTGCACTGGCTTTTCCCTCTGCCCCACCCCCGCGCTTCCATATTGTCACGTGACTTCTTCTCGTCCCTTAGGATTTGGGCCCTTTCCTGAGGACCCCATCTGAAACTGACCCCCCCCCCCAATCCACCCACCCCTCCAGTCTGGCCCCGTTTTCCTTTCCTGCAGAGCACACACCCTGCGTCTCCACTTCTTTAAGGACTGGGTTCTGGTCCCCCCTGCTCCAGAATGGAAGGGCTCCGGGGGCGGGGAGTTTCCTGTGACTGGCTCCCGTCCCGGCCTCATGTGGCCAGCAGGAGGCGCCCAACCTACCGTTTGTTCAATTCATCAGAAAGCAGTCAACCAGGGTCACAAACCGGAGAACATTTAGTACTCTGCCTAAAACTAGGCTTCGGGATCGCAACTCTTTCCGATTCAGCAGCACTTTCCAAGTGGACGACAACCAGCAATCCAGACCTCACCAGCTCGGCCTAGATCTTGTTCAGCTTTGGTCTGTACCTTTCAACCGCAACTATGAGCAGCGTTCTCTCGAGAGATGCCTCTAAACCCTTCACACACGGTCTGGCACCTCAAATACTGGTTTGTGTATTGCACTGGGGTCCTTACCAAAGAAAATCTGCTCACACGGAGTAAAGCCACCTGTTGTCGGGTGGGGGAATCCGGAGTGAATCCGGATGGAACGTCACATCACCCTCTTCTCCCCAAGCGCCAGTGTCCCGTGCCCGGGTTTGGTTCAGCTCGTCCACGACATGATCAACACCTCCCAGACACCGTGTGCAACTGGGACACCCTGGCACATTCCTAACAAAGAGCCCAGCCCTGCAGATTAACCTTCCGCATAACTTTCTGGTGAAACAAGGGCTCGGCCGCATTAAAAACCTAGAACTGGACCAAGTTGCCAAAGAGAGCAGGGTGGTGTGGGATTGCATCCCCTAGTGGCCAGAGAGGGAGCTTCAAAACCATGACTCGCTGTAACTCTTCTGCGGTTGTTTTCATTCCGTTTCCTGCTACAGGCCTTTGGTGTTCCACGGCTGTTGTTGACATTAAAAATCACTTCTCGAGGAGCACGCGTTTCGGGATCTACTGCTACGCTGAAGAGTCTTTGGCAGCCTGGGCTCCTGCCGCTACTTCAACCCTCTCTCACACAATCCAGAGGAACAAAAGCCAGAGATGCTGAAGCCCAAGGATGTCCTACCGCAGCCTATTTCAAATTATGTGTTCTTTGGGGAAAACACCGTCGCCGCGCCCAGGCAGGCATGAAGGAGCTCCGACCGAAGGAGCGGGAGACCGCTGGCATCAGCCACACAAAACGTCCTCCCGAGTCCCCTCCCGTGGGTTCGGGGCTGCCCTCCCCTCGCCGACAGCGCCCAGCACACCGCGTTCGTGCACTGAGGTGCAGTCGCAAAGGCGGGGGGCAGGTTCAGAGTCAAGCAGCCCCATCAAGGGAGCGCTCCAGCAGACTGAGAAGGCAAGCAGGCATCCTGAGGGCTGCGGGACTGCCAAAGAGGACCGCATGGTCTCAGCCCACACCACCCCGCATCAGAGCATCCCCTCCCCTGTCCCGGGCAGGCTCTTCCGCCCCAGGTCTCAGACCAAGCCACGCGGACCCACCGGGGACGACACTCGAGCACCCGCCCCCGCCATCATCGATGTCAATCGGGAACGGAAGACGGCATGTGCACATCACAGACGACCGCCCAGCCGAAGCACATCCGGTTTAGCCTTTCCCGCCCCAGAAACACCACGTTCCTGCTCAGGGGGGCCCAGAACGATCTGAGGCCCCCGGTGAACCTACCGAAGCAGAGGCTGCGGTAACTCACTGCACCAGTCTGCAGACAAGAGCCCACGGCTGCTCCGCTGGACGCCACCGAGGCCAGACCAGGCCCTGCCCACGGCCACAGTGGCCGTTTGCCCTCAAGAAAAACACCGCAGGAGAGCAAAGCAGGAAGCGGGCGTCGAAGCTGCTTATTATTCCAGAAATGCCAACAACACACGCTGTGTTCCCCAGTACACACGTCTTAACGCCATGTCAGTCTGGGCAACTGATACTTCCGCCAAAGACGAGCGTGTACAGGGCGGGTGACCACACCGAGAGTCACGTGCTCGTGTGAGCACCCCAAACGTGGACACCAAGGGGCTCAGCAAGCCAGGAGCCTGTAGCAAACCCGCCTCAGCTCCCACGCTTGGCAGCAAGGAGGACCCTCCTGTCGCCCTCCCGGGGCCCGCCTACGTAGCAACAGCCTAGAGGCTCACAGCCGGAAGCACCGTGAAAGGCTCTGAAAGTCCGAGAACGTCCATCAGCCAAGGCTGATCTCAAGTGCTCCTGACTGGCTCACAGACTCCTCCCAGGCACCCGCCCGTGGGCGTCCCTGTCACCAGAGTCCCCATTTTACTAAGAAACAGGGAAGGGGCCTGAGGTCGCAGTGCAGGCCAGGGTGCAGCTGGGATGGGAGACCCCGCGCGAACTGTCCAGGCTGTGCGGAACGTGGGAACGCCTGCCCTTCGTAGCGGAGGCGCTTTCTGGGGCCTCTGAATGGACATTTCCCTTGGGGGCCACGCCCCCCACCCCCACATCTGTAGTCTCGGACTGTCGGTCCGTTATAAAGCCCGCTGACAGTTCGCCTTGCAGGTCTGAAGTTACATTCTCGGCCTTGCAGGCACCCGTGGGCCTGACCCTCCCGGCACTTGAGCTGGACAAGAGGAGGGGCGGGGGAGAGGATGCCAAGACACCCACCCAGTATGGGGGCGCCTGGGTAGCTCAGTTAAGCATCCAACTCTTCACTTCCGTTCAGGTCATGATCTCACGGGTTCGTGGGTTCAAGCCCCATGTCTGGCGTTGATGGTGACAGCACAGAGGGATTCTCTCTCTCCCTCTGCCTCTCCCCTTCTCACGGTCTCTCTCAAAATAAACAAACTTAAAAAAAAAAAAAAGGACGTTATACCCCAAGTGTAACGAGAAGAGAGCACGAAAACAGCCCGAGGTTCGCCCTACGTGTACAACCGTCACTAACGCGACAGCTACAGACACAGGCAGGCTGGGTTTTCCTTTTCTCACATCAGTAGGTGGTGAGCAGTCAGAAGACAGGAAGGCCTGGGAGAGACGGGGCTGGAGACATCGGGGAGGGAGCAGGGACGGGCAGTGCCTGGCGGCGATCAGTGCCAAGGTCACAGCCGTCTTTGGAAATTCTACCCAAGTGACGTCTGAACAAGGTGACCACCACCTTGAGCTACACCAGCCTTCCCCCTGCCCCCTCAGATCACGGAGACAACAGTCACTTCCCTCCACGCATCCCCAGCGCTCACACTTCCTAGAGACCCGTGGCTGGCTCCCTAAGTCACTCTCCAGCTGGGAACACTGCTCCCATCGACGTTTCTCAGAAGCAGAAGCGACCCGTCATGCACAAGGTCGCTGGGAACGAAAACCACGAAGTGCGTGAAATGCTCCTTGGGGACTGACCCCTTTTATTTAGGTCCATACAAAACAGGGTCTTAAGCACGAACAGGGCCCGCGTTCCAAAGTGACATGGTTGAGGGAATGAAACCAAAGGAATCTGGAAAGTTCCAGGCCCCAACAATTCTATTTCAGGCACACGGAACCAGGCAGAAAAGGAACTGGCACACGTTCAGCCTGCACACAGATCTTCCCGTCAACTCACCTGCAAAGACAGTGCACGTCAGTTTTTATTCTACCCGGGCAAGTCTGTTAGCACCACAAGACACCCTCCAGAATCGAGCAAGCGGCCCCGGGACACAAGGTGGGAGGCAGTGACCCTGCGTCCACCAGCCCCTCCTCCCTCCAAGCCTGCGGGCTCCCTCCGAGGGCTCATCACCTTCTACCTCAAGGCACCCACAGTGATTTCCCAACCCACCACCCCCTGGGCTGTAATCCGCATACCGCCTGGGGCCTTCCTCAGAAACCTGCCTGCGCAGGAGCCACGGCAAACCTGAACTCTGACCGAGCCTCTACACCCCACGCCCACCCACGCCTTCCTCCCGTCCTGCCCGATTCCGATTCCGGCCATTTAGTTCCCCAGTTTGGCCCCAACGTGTGAGCTGCTCACATCCCCCAAGCATTTTCAGGCTTCCTGCTTTTTGCCACACTTCAGCAACTGGAAACGGCCGTTATGTCCTCACAGGGGTCCCATTCCAAGAAGTCCTATTGGAAATGTCCCTTCCTGTGGCTCCACAGCATATGACATTCACCTCTCCGGATGCTAAGCCCCTCAACACCCAGGACCACTTTTCCTCACATCCCCTCCGAGGCACAGACGTGACGCGGTGACCCCTGCAGGCACTGCTCCCTCTGCATGGGGACAGCCCACCAGGCCGAGGAAGCAGGAGGGGCAGGAGGACCTGTGGCCAAGAGCCCAAAGTCCCAAGTTCCACCAGCAGGCACTGCGGTGTGCAAGCTCCTCAGGAGACAGTGGGAGGGTTCTCAAAAAGCAGGATCCCTCTCAGCCTTGACCCGGGACGGGATGCAGTGCAGGAGACACGAGAAGGTGCGTGTGGCATGATCCCAAAAAAGGTGCTCCCGTGCCCTTCAAAACGCGCTACATGCGTGCCCGACGTGGTGGCCACCAGCTACGTGTGACTGTTTATGCTGAAATTAACATGACAAATCTTGTTCCCCAGGAGCACCAGCCATGCTGTCAAGTGCTCACTGCCACCTGTGGCTTGTGACTGCTCAACTGGACAAAGCAGGTGTAGACCACTTCGTCACCGCGGCGTGTTCTATCGGACAGCACAGTTCTGTACACAGTGTTCTCTTGAAATTAGATGTTAGCACCTCATCCTCTTACTTAAAACCCACGATGCCCCACATTCTTAGGAAAAGATCAAAATGCTCACATGAGCCACAGGCCCTGTGTGGTCTGGCCCTTCCCCGCCTTTTCAGCTTCATTCCACCCCATTCTCTTGCTTTTTGGGTTATAATGGCCTTCTTTCGGCTCCTCCACTAGCCACAATTTGCTAGGCCACCGGGCCTTTGCACGTGCTGCCCCGTGGCCTTCCACGGAACCCCCACATATCCTCCAGAGTCCAGCTCAAGGATCCCATCCTTAGGAAAGCCTCCATCACGCTGTAATTCGCCTGCTAACAAGGCTGGGCTTTGAATTACACCCTCTTTAGTGCAATCATTTAATCTCTTCTCCCCCGACGGGGGCTGTAGCTCCCTGAGAACCAGGGCCTGGGCTGTTTTGTTCATCTCTGTACCCTTAACGTTTAGCACGGTGCCTGGCCAAAATTATCAATATTTATTAAGTCTCCACACTCTGTTTACAGATGTTTGGGAACCACCGTTCTCGGATACTAACTGTAAGGGTTTTTTCCTTCTTTCAGCGTAGGTCCTGTTTGCAGTATCATACATGATCATCAAACTGCTGCTAGAATGTTCACACCTGTTACTGCAAATTCAAACCCCAGGAAAAACTTGCTCCCGGGAATTTACTTTAGGTCAGAGTCGGGCTGTCTGGTTACAAGGCTGCACCCGCAAGCGGGCAGGTTCAGCAACACAGGAGCCTCTCCCCAGACCATCGGCCTCAAGACTCTCCGTCCCCGTGACTGGCATACCTGGATCCCCATAGGGAGGGTGCTCTGGGTGCTGTGACCGACGAGGACAAAGCGGCCAATCGGTGCCTGCTTGCATCAAATCGCCGGGGGACGGGAAAGTTCTCGTTTTCCGAGGAGACCCTGGGGAAAGAGTAACACAACGTGCTCTAGGAGGGTGTCTCATCCGCTATCCACACGCTCCCCAGAAGCCGCCTTGCCCCCCCACCCCGCCCGGGCGGGACCTCCAAAACTCATCGGCCAGCAGCCGCACCTACTACTGCCCGCCCCGCCCCGGCTTCGGAGCCCGCG